AGCGGGCCGGGCACCGCCCCGGCGTGGCTGCAGCTGCCCCAGCCCACCTACCTTCTCACCCTCAGGTCCTGGCACGCCACGGTCCCCCTGCAGAGCGAAGCAGAGGAGGGTTTCAGGGAGCCTTCCTCCCTCCATGCCACACTGCCCCTGCCCCACATGCTGCCCCAGAGCCCTTCAGGGCCCGGCCCCAAATCCCATCCGAGACCACTGGGCTCTGACAGCAACCACCAGGCACAGCCACCACAGGGACACAGGGACACCAGGACCGCCGACGCTGCCGAATGGCATAGTCCTGCTCTGGTGCCATCTCCCCTTCTCGCCCATCTCTCCCAGCTCGCCCGGCGCCCCGCGGTCTCCCTGGCACAGGAGGAAGATGGTGTCAGCAGGACCCGCGGGGGACAGCACAGGTCCTGGCACAGCTCCTAGACCCCTTTTCTCCCCGCTGAAGGCAAGGTGAGAGCATCCCTTTGGTCCCCACACCACTCACCTTCCTGCCCTGCTCCCCCGGTGGTCCCCGAGGGCCCTGCAAAGGAGGATGGAGAAGATGTCACCTCCGGCGTGGCAGGGCAAACACCCATGCTGGCTGGAGCTCCGGGGTGCCTCGGGGCTTGGCTCGCCAGTGAGGCTGGCTCCTGCCCAGCTTACCTTCTCTCAGGAAACTCACCCGATCTCCTGGGTCCCCAGGGTGGCCGGGCGGCCCTGGGAAACCTTCTTTGCCATCACCCTGGGGATTAGGAAAGGCAACAGCCATGCCCATGAGATGGGAATGCCCATGAGATGGGAATGGGCATCCCCCCTGGAGAGCGGTGCAGGGTCTGGCCCCAGAGCAGAGCATCCCCACCGCCCTCTTACCTTCTCTCCCTTCAGGCCGGGGGGCCCGGAAGGTCCCCGGGGCCCAGGGTCCCCAGGCAGGCCCTGCAAGAGAGCACAGCTCAGCCCTGGGGACAAATGGCTGCCACAGCCCCACTCCCCTCTGCTGTCCCTGCTGGCGCGGGGGCCAGACTCACCGCAGGGCCGGGCTCCCCTCGAGGTGCTGCCCCATCCACAAGTCCGGGGGGACCCTGCAGAGACAGGGGTCAGCTCCTGCGTGACAGCCCCGGAGGGCTCAGTCCTTCCCAGCACCCTGGGGGGGCTGCGGTGCCCTCGGGCACCCAAGGGACCTCTGTCCAGGAGGGCAGAGGAGCCAGGGAAATGCGAAGCCACTCACCCTCTCCCCTCGGTCACCCTTCTCCCCCTGCAAGGGCAAAAAAAAGCAGGTAAGGGCAGGTCTGGGCTCTTCGCCTGCCCGCTCGAATGGAAAGGTGGAACATGCTGGACAGAGCCCATCGTCAGTGGTGTCAGGGCACATGCATGCCATGTGCCTCTGCACACTGCCCAGCGCCAGCAACAGCTCATGCATGTGTATGTGTGTGTGGGCACAGCCCATGAGTGGGACCAGGAGCATTGCACAGGGGAGCAGCTTCAAGCTGCTGGCTGTCCCTCCATCTGTCTGTCCACATGTCCTCCCAGCTGTCCCCGCGCAGCACCAGGGGGGCATGTACCTTCACAAACTCTCCTGGAGGTCCCGGTGGCCCCACGGGTCCAAGCGGACCAGGGGGGCCTGGATCACCAAATGGTCCCCGTGGGCCGGGGCTCCCGGGGGGGCCAGGGCTGCCCTGGAGGACAGAGATGCTCCATTAACTGGGGCTGCAGCACAGGCTGGGGGTGCTGGCAGAGACCCCCCAGCATCGCCACCCCTATACCTACCGGTGTGCCCGGCTCCCCTTTCCGGCCTGGCAGCCCCTGTCCTCCGTCAACGATCACCCTGGGCTCTCCCTGAAAGAGGGGGGAGAGGAAAAAAAAATTCAGTGTCCCCATGTACCCCGGTGCAGGATGGGGGCCACAGTGCCACTTTGAGGCCAGGGGCCCAGCAGGGAGATGAGGAGACCCTGTGGTCACCCAGACACTGAGTGCCAGGAGGTGCCAGGGGTGGGGATGTGCCCGCCAGGGTCCCCGCTGCTCCCTAGGGACCACTGTGGGACAGCCCCGTGCCCATCACCTACCGGCTCGCCTTTCTCCCCCTTTGGGCCAGAAAGACCCATCGGCCCCCGCGGTCCCTGGGAACGAAAGGTAAGAGTGAGGGGGGTTGTAGGGTGGGGAGCAGGGCTGGGGAGGGATGGGGCCATACTCACAGGATCCCCTCGAGGGCCGGGGATGCCCTGGGTGCCCTGGAAAACAACAGCTCAGGAGGTGAATGTGTGTCTCTGCCAGCCAGGGGAGTGGGGATGGGATGGGATGGGATGGGATGGGATGGGATGGGATGGGATGGGATGGGACGGGACAGGATGGGACGGGACAGGGGCTCCAGCCAAGGCAGGGATGGAGAGTCCCTGCCCAGTACACTTAGCCTGGGACACACACACCGGGGACAGCAGTGACCCTGCCAACTACAAAGACCCCATGGCACAGGGAAAGGATGGGCAGAGGCTGGCTCAGGGAGCAAGCAAGGCAGGCAGGGTAATGGGAAGAGGCCACCATGCAGCAGCAAACCTGGGGGGACACCCCCACTCACCGGCTGGCCGGGGGATCCGGGGTTCCCGGGGCGGCCGGGGCTTCCTGGTGTCCCATCAGCTCCGGGGAATCCCTGCAGGAGAGAGGAGCATCATGCCAGCACCTGGCACATCCCGGCACTGCCAGAACCCCCCAGTGCCCCAGGTAGTCCTGGTCCTGGCACTGGGAGCCCAGGACAGCCCCATGGTGGAGCCAGGTCTCCGAGTGCCTTTCCCCTGCGTGCCGAGTTGGGGTGTGAGGGAGCAGCATGGGGCTGGACCAGGGCTCCCCAAGGAGATCCCCTCTCCAGCCTGGGCGAGGAGGAGGGAGGGAGGAGGGGCAGAGAGATACCCCCACAGGGCTGGGTCCCTGTGCCTGGGGAACTGGGGGTGCCTGGGTGAGGAGATTGGAGGTACTCACCCTGTCCCCCTTCTTGCCTGGCCGCTCGACACTCTCTCCCGGCAGACCCCGTGGCCCCGCGGGTCCTGGAGGGCCAGGCAGCCCATGGCGGCCCTGGAGGGACAGTGAAGAGGATGGGCTGGGTGTCGGGCAGTGACCAAGGGACGTTCCCTTCTCTGTCCCTGCAGTCAGGCCTGGACAGGTCCCTGCCCTGGCACCCACCCGCCAGCAGGACAAGGGGACCTGGGGACCATGTCGCTGCCCCCCACCAGGAAGCTACCCCCATCTCCCCCTCAGCAGGACATTACCGGCTCACCAGGGGGGCCCGGCTGCCCCGTGCGTCCTTGCAGTCCCTGCAGAGACAAAGCCAGCGCTAACTATCCCCTGCGGGCTGGCATCAGCAGTGTCTGGGGGGACACAGCCCCCACAGAGCCACCAGCGGTGGGGGGACACCAAAACACTCACTGCCTCGCCGCGGTCCCCCTTCTCACCCTGCACA